TTCTTCTCAAACTACTGTTTGCATTTAGAAAATCTGTAAATTGCAAATCTGTGTGTGGATAGAGACTTCATTTCTTGGAACTTTTGATGGCAGAGAAGCGTATAAAGTAAGACATTGCTTATGATTTGGCCAGTGTAGTGGTAGTTGAAATCATTATCATTGTGTAAATTTCACAGCACAAATGCCATTTTAGCTTTGAATTTGGGGTTCAGTTAACTAAGAAGTATCCTCAAGTTACAGCTCAAACTGACTTCCATAGCCAGTCATTGCCCTGCAGTAGTAGTTGAAGATGATTATTCATCTTATTCAAGAAAAGTTTCAGCCCTAAGCACACGAAAAGAATCCCAATTGAACTTTACCACTGCTTACTAACCTCCTGACCTGTGTGATAGTCAGTAGGTTTAGCTTCCATTTATTACAGAAATAGACTAACTGTTTAAACCTACAAATAACCCTTAATCAAACCCACTATCATGGGGTCCAGGCCAACTCATGGTAACCCACCGTTGGGATTCAGAGGTTGTAAATCTTACAGAAAGAATGTTCACCTTTCTCCCCTAGAGCGCCTGGTGGATTTGAGCTGCCACCCTCTGGGTTTGCGGCACAGACGTAATGCACCACACCACCAGATCGCCTTCCTTTAGATCGAAGTGGTTGTGGTGGTAGTTTTTGTTGTTGTGTACCATTGAGTTAGAAGCGACCCATAGCTGACCCTCCAGAGGATTTTTAGAAGCAGTAAATCGCACGGGAGTTGATTGCCTCTCTTTTCATCCATGGGACAGCTGGTGTATTTGAACCAATTACCTTGGCACAGTTCCTGAGCCACCAGAGCTCTCCTGAGAGTACCAGCAGATCCTCTAAGTGAATAAAGACTCTAAAGAACTTGACATCAATTTTTATCCGATTTTACCACTAAATTAAGTGTTGATGTAAGGCTTGCAAAAAGACTTTTGTTTTTCGCTTTTGAAATTTTAGCGTTGTTGATAAGGAATTGTGGAATAGCATTTTGTAATCTGCTGTACTTTTAACATTTAATGGTGCACATCTCTCTCATAGCAGTCATATAAAAGTACAGGTAAAAACGAACTACTAAATCTTGCTGTCTTTTTTTGCCCCCCTTTTAAAAGCCAAAGTTTATTTTTACTTAAAAAATGCTTGAGAGCCTTAAAAGTCCTAAAGGTTAAAAAAAAGGCAGCTGGTTTAATCAAGCTTGTGGTGAGGTGGTGGCCATCCCTGGCCCCCAGCGCCTCAGCTTCCTTCATCCTGGCCAGTGTGGTGGCTGCTTGGCGTGACTTCCAGATCAAAACGAGACAGTTCTTCTAACGCCAGCATTCATAAGAGCCCCTCGTGGTAAAGTGGCGAGAACAGCATTTCCAGCGGCAACCATTGACACTGCAGTGCATTAGGATCCATGGCTCTGATCCTAAGACACGAAAGTCAATCCAGAAATGCAGATTACACACCCAGTTGATCAACAGCTGATGTATTCGTAGATCCATGTGAAAATGGGTCCTCCACTGTTGTCCATCACCTGTCCAGGACTACCATGCCGAGCCGGGATCATGGCAAGCCTTAGGTGGTATTTATGTCAGCTCCTCGACAGCCACCAGATGATAATAGCAATCAGTGTCCAGGAGGCAATCAATCCTGCTGTCTTTTTTGATCCTTGTTTCTGTTCTGTAAATTCCTTAGAATGGGTGAAAGAGCATTAAAGGTTTAGAACTTTTCAGAAGTTTTCTATGAGTTGGCCAGGTCACGAGAGGATGAGAATGCCTCTTTGGCAGTACCCTCACCAGGGTGTTCTTGTCTGTCTCACAGAGGGAGGGATGCTTTGTCAGCTGCGACTGTTCCTGCATCTTAAAGTCACTTTGTCTTTCATTGTTGCTCATCAGTTGAGATAGCACTGCGCCCTGCAGTCCATTTTTACGTGATTGAACTTTAATTGTTGGCTTGGATGTGGGAAGTGTTGCTGTCCTTTAAATAGAAAACGTTTGCTCTGGGCTTCCTACAACACTGAGTATCAGTCACCATGGTGTGGGGCTCAGGATTTAGACCTTATTTATAGAGCATCAGCAAAACGCTTGTTCTTACATGATCTTGACTCTGTTTATCTTCATCATAGATTCACTGTGAAAGACAGAACTGTTTGTATGTAGAGAGTAAGGGAAAGAGGGCTTCTGGTAGCGAGTATCACTGCTGCGTCGCGGCGAGTCAGACTGACTCATAGCTGACCCTCCACCGGGTTTCCATGCCCATAAATCCTCCTCTAGCTGTAAAACTGGAGGAGCGTGTTCATCCTTCTCCCTCCGCCGCCGCTGGATTGAGACCACCGGAGAGGCTCAGCCTTTGGCTTGGCAGTGAAGCCCCTACAGACTGTGTCCCCAGAGCTCCCTCCTGTGTTCCACACTAACCCCTCCTCCAAAAAAAGGGCAAAGTCGTTCACTGTCAGTTTAGTCATGAAGACTTTACACTCATCTGTCACCATCACAATGTGTAAACATTCGTATTCCTCCGAGGTAACCTGAAGGCAGCAGTTCAGAAGGGTGCGGGCCCCTGGGCTCCCAAAGCCCTTTCCAGGGGGCCTTCCCATTCAGAAGTCTTCACAGTGATCCTCAGATGTGGTTTCCCTTGTTAGACTTGGTATGATAGTCAGTGGGCGTTGACCTTGGGCTGTACAGCTTGTGGTCTTCACTTAACTTGCATTTGCAATAAAAATTTTTCAATAAATCCATCTTTACGTAATAGTATCCTTGATTAATTAGTGAAAAGTATTCAATCTCAACCCTTGGCATGCCTCCTTTTAATAGCCTGATGATGAAATAGGAGGTGTGCTGAAACCCCCCTGCAGCCTCCTGAATGGGATCTTGTTCTGGGAGAGAGTGGGAGGTGTGGTGAGCGGATAGCCTTGCCTCTCATGGAACACCACTTCAAAGAACCACTGCCTCCTTCAGACAGGGCTGCCTCATTCAGGCTGGGGTGCCCCACAGATGTGTTTTGAGAAAGTTGGGGAAATAAGCCTGTTATTTCTCCAAAAGTGACTGAGCATTTGTTGTTAGCCACAGAATGGGAGCTTTCAGGTAAAAAGTTAGATCTTCAGAAAACTTTGGTTTTTGACAGTTTCCCAGTGCTCACAGTTGGTGATAAGGTCTGTGAAGATCTTCATGAACATGATCATTTCTTTGTGTAGAGATAGATGTCTCTTAATAACTGAATGGTTAATTCAGTGGCCGAGTACATTCCAGATGACCGCTGTCTGATGTCACAAAATCACACTCAGGCAAAGCATCCATTCAAGTTTAAGGCCAGTGGGGTTTGGTTTTATTTTAACAGCAGTTTGAAAAAATAAAAAAGGTAAAATTGATCAGGCTTCAGATCTCCCAGTGCAGCTAGCTTTTCAGAAGCTACTGTAAAGTTTTATGTGTTAAAGAAAAGTATTTAAACTATCTGAGTAGGTTTGCAAGAACACTTTAAAAAAAAAATCTTTATTTTGTGTCTTTGTACTGTCAAATCAGATCTGACTGGTACAGGAGATTGGCCCTCCTTCTCCAGCAAAGCATCTGGTGGATTTGAAGCTTCCATTTCTCATGACATTTCTGAGTAGGATCGTGTTTGCTTTGTACACTTCAACACAATCTGGGTGGCACTTTGAGTGTCGCAGCAGAGACAACTGGCTGTCCTCTGCGCAGACTCAGAAGCTTCGCACCATCCCGCTGGAACAGGCTCTTTGCCGACCCTCCCGCAGGCTTTTGGAGGCTGGACGTTGCATGGGAGGGGAGTGCCCCGCTTTCTCCTGTGGAACCATTTCATTCTCGGGGCTACTTTCATTAGTAAAATTGATCAGTATAACTGACATAAATGAAACGACGCCCTGGTGGCCCAGTGGTTAAGCGCTTTGGCTGCTAACTGATTGGAATCCGCCAGCCACTCCTTGGGAGAAATACCTGGAAAAATGGCTTCCTTTAAAATGCCATCAAATCAGTTCCAAGGCTTTGGGACAGACTGCCCATCTTTCTCTCATGGAGCTGCTAGTGGTTTCGCACCACCAGAGATGCATGGCCTTTGGGGCAATAATTTTGGAAACTCCTTTTTTTTTAATTATTAAATTTTATTAATTTTAATGAACATTTACAGAGATTTTGGGTTTTCATTCATTGTTGCACTGGAAACTCCTTAAGGCCTTCTGACTTGAAATGTGGTCCTGAGCGTCACCTGAATTGGAACAACTGAGCCCAGCCCCAGGCCTGGCTGAGAACTTGGGGTTTTAAAGACGTCTGGGTGATTCTCTCACACACTAAAGAAGAAGAAAGGTGGCAGCGGCTTCTGGAAGGGGCAGGGCGGTTTGTAGTAAAAGCTCACCCTGGAGAGGAAGTTGGGAACCTAGAAGACTTGGAGCCCCAGTTTCCCCAGATGGTTCCCCTCCAGTCTGCTGGTCCTCTGGGGAACGTGGCCACTAGCAGGGTCTCCATACCCTGGAGAGGTTGGGAATTGCCTGCTGTCTCTCAGAAGTGAGGGTCACATTAGGGTGGGCAACTGAAGAAAGGAGATCAGTGGAGATGGGGCCTCTTCTAAGCAAGGCACAGCTGCCCAGGATGTTCTGTGCCTGGAATATATTACACCGTGTTCTGTCTTCTTTGTTTCTAGTCTCTAAGATAATCACTGTTAGCTGTAAACTTGATAAAAACGTGTAGACAAGCGCCAATCCCCTTTGGATTTGACTGGATTTGTGTTCGTCTCAGCAGTGGCTTCCGGGCACTTGGTTCTATAAAAGAGCTTGCGTGTGTCCTGTGAGATGATGCTTATAACCGGGCTTTTCAGATGCAGCATTTCAGGACAGGGTGGTTTCATGAATGTTGGACTAGTTCAGTCTTTAGTCTGAAATTGGTGACTAAGCAGCTCTGTTTAGATGAAGCTTCCACTAGACAGTATAATATAAACTGTTGTAACAAGATCTTGTTTCTAAGCCTTAAAATCGATTGATTTTTTTTTTCTCTTGTTTCTAGGGTGAATCTGTAAAATATTTCCTGGATAACTTGGATAAACTTGGAGAACAAGTAAGTTTTTATACACTGTTTATGTTTGTGTCGTTTGAAAGTGGTAGTCAGGATATTGAGGTTTTTATTCTAAGACAGCTTGCCCATTGAATGTTGAGGGAAATTGTTGCTTATTCTTTTATCTTGAATTTTTCTCCAGTGTTTTAGACTTAAGTGACTTTTTTCCCCAAAATAAGAGAAATAATTTTCCTTTTTCAGTTGAGAACCTGTTCTTTTCACCCCCTTTATTTATCTGATCGCTGCAGTTTTCCTCCAGAAATAACCCATCATTATTTCATGAAAGTAAAATCATTTACAAAAGGTGTATGTGTTTGAAAATGAAACAGTACATACTTTGTTACCCTTCCGTCTCCCCCACACACACACATAGAAACAGAAAGAACACTGGGTTGAATGAGGAATGTTGGCAACAGCCTTTCTAGTTCAGGGCCCTTGTGCTAACTATGGGAGGGCTGGTTTTGCCGGACAGCTGAAGAGACTCTGGATTGGGGGGGAGGGGGAGGCTTCCTTTCCCGGAGCAGCCCCTGGTGCTGGGGGCCCCTGGTGCCCTGACTGGCGCTGCTTCCCAGCACAGGGCCAGAAGTGCCCATTCAGCAAGGAAGACTCTGAAGGGTATTAGAGGGCGGACTGAGGAAAGATCTGAATGCTGCTGCCCTGGAGGCATTTGCTGCCAACTAAACCCAGCACTACAGTGGTTGCCTCTCCTTCAGGCGAGTTTCTGTTAAGATTTTAAAACGGGTTTTTACTTTAACTGTATATAACTGAAGGAAAGCACAAAATGAAACTTTAGCCAAGAAGAAAATAATACTAGTGGACTTAGGATGTGTTGCACAGCACCTTCTTTTGCTGTTTGAGGTTACTTTTTGCCTCTCCTCTGAACTTTTCTAAGTAGCCTTTCAAGGAGCCAGTGTTTATTAGCCACGCCCCTGCCCCCCTCTTCCCCCAACGTTGATCCGCAGTTATCTGTTGCATTTATCAGTTTTTTACTCGGTGTGATCCGCCTTGGAGTCAAGGCCTGTTCATTAGCGTTTTTCCATCTGGTCGTATTCTAGCCTTACAAAGTAAACACAGGCTAAATGGGGGGATGTCTCAGTGGGTAGAGTCTACTTTTTTTTTTTTTAAATTTTGTGTGTGTGTGCCGTCAAATCAGATCTGACTGGTACAGGAGGATATTGCGCCTCCTTCTCCGGCAGAACATCTGGTGGATTCGAACCGTGTTCCTCTGGGATTGCAGTGCAGCTTCTTGCCACGAGGCCACCAGAGCTCCCCTAGAGTCTAATGTTGTAAGAGTTACTTCATGTACTTCAGTCCACACCGTGCTGACTTGCTGCCTCTTTTCACCTTCTTAGCTCTTCAGATAGAACTTCCCTGAGCACACCTTCAAGCGTAGGTCTTCAGGGACCCCAGCGCAGCCTATGCTTCCTGCCTCTGACCCCCTGCACTTAGCAGAGGGGTTGCTGCTTGTTTTTCCACACACACCCCTTTCCATGAAGAGGTCTTCCCTTTATTGTGAAAAGAGTTCCTGGTGCCTAGTGACCGTGACCACCATCTAACCTTGACATTGAGCAATGCCACTCCTGGGGTTCACCTGTCAGCCAAATAATAGATTAGGTTATAAAACAGTATCACCAGTGAGTGATGCGCCCCTTACACAGGAGCCAAAAGGTCAGCATTTACCTCAAAGATGAGAAAGCAGGGGGAGGAGGGGCCGCTACATCGGGAGAAACAGACGGACCCAAAAGCCTAACCAGTGTCACAGCAGTTAGAGAAAAGTCTTAAATGGAACCTAGTTAGATATGTACGCTGTCACCTAAAACAAGAAAAGAGGTTTTAAAGTAAAATCAATCCGTGAATCCCATACACCCTTCATTGTCTTTCTCTCAAATGCGTCCTCTCGTGGCACAGTTACCGAAACGAATGCACTTTGCAGTTTGAACAAGCTTAGTTCTTGAATGAGTGGCTCTTGGTGGGCTTCTGACAGTTCAGAGTGTCTGCTCAGTCACGTGTTGAGAACAATTCTGGGCCCACACTGGGGGTGAAAGAGAAGCATAAGGGACCCAGGAAGCTGTCGTGAAGGACGGGAAACAAGCCTGGATTGTAGTCCTCACTGAGCAAAATGTTTACACTGTCAGTGCTGCCGAGGTAAACCTCAGAAGAAAGGCCTGGCAATCTGCTTCTGAAAGGTCATGGGCTTGAAAACCCTGTGGAGCAGAGTGCAGCCTGACACTCTAAGAAACCCATGAGTTACAGCCAACTTAAAAGCAACTGCTCTGAGTTTGGATGTCCCGTCCGCTTTGTGCCTGGCCCACAAGAGGGGCTGCGCCTGTTGCTCCGCCTCTGCACAAAGGACCAGAGCCACTGAAGCTGCTTGTGCTCTGCCCCACGAGCCTCTGTGAGGGACAGCACAGGAGTCAGGAGGACGACTCTGCAGCCAGACGTCCCGGGGTCAGGTCCCACTCTGGTTCAGGCAGGCTCTGTGACCTTGTTCCTTGCTGTCAAGTCACTTCTCACTGTCTGAACCATTGCTTCTTCGTCTCTAGTGCTGCCAGAGTAAGAGTAAGAATCCACGTTGCAGGGAATAGGCACAGACACTGTTGTTACTGTTGTTAGGTGCCGTCGAGTTGCCCTGTGTACAGCAGCTCTGAACCCCGCCCTGTCCTGAACCAGTCTTGCTGACTCCAACACACCAACCCCCATTACCCCAGTCACTGTGTCAGTCCATCTCGTCCAAGATCTTCCTCTCCTGCGCTGTCCCTCCACCCTTCTGTGCATGATGTCCTTATCCAAGGACTGGTCCCCCCTGACCACATGGCCAAAGTATGTGAGTCGAAGCTTCAAAATCCTAACCTCCACTGAGAAACTTGGTTTAGCTCTCTTCACGACAGACCTATTTGTTTCCTTGGCGATCCATGGTACGTTCTGCACGTTTCTCCACCACCACAATTCACAGGCATCAGTTCTTCTGTCCTCCTCAGTCATTGGCCAGCTCTCTGACGCATTCTGCAAGTAGGCACAGTTAGGTGAGATAAATCTACCAGGTGAAAAAAAAATTTAAAAGAAAAAAAAATCTACCAGGTGTTCAGAACGGTGCTCTGCACACAGTAACCAGTGTTTTGCTGGGTTTGCTCTTTGATCACCATCTAGTCAGGGACAAAACTGACATCCCTGAAATAAACAGAGGACATCTCAGTGTTTCTGATTTTGAAGATGCCTTTTGTTCATAGACTGGAGAGAGATGTTTCAGGCTAATGAGTTGGAGGAAATGAAGTGGCTGGTGATGGGCCGGGTTTCAAGCAGGTGCTGCCCACCTGGAAGGCAGGCTCACCAGTGCCCTGTGTCGGGAAACGCTTTTGTCTGAGGAAGGAGGCGTGAATTTCCACGGTCTCACTCACACATTTCTAGAAGGTAGACATGTGCGGGTTTTACGCATTGTTCCTGCACTGTTGGGGGAATCAGTGGGCCCATAATGGTATCCGGAAGGGAGCCCATCTAGGTCTTGGCCAAGGTCGTGGTGAGCCTGTGCAATGCAGAGTGTCAGTTCCAGAAAGTTTGGGCCCTGCAATCCTGATAGCAGCGTGTGGCATGAGGACATGAAGTCCACAGCCTGGGAGAGGCTGAAGGTGACTCACTGCAAGAGGGTCCACGAGGTGGGGAGGAGAAGGTGCCCTGCAGATGATCGAGTGAGGGCGGTGGAAATAAAGATGAGAGTAAGAAAAGGTTTTCATAGGAGGCCAACAGGGTATGATGGACGAGAGGTGATGACGGAGAGAAGCTTAGGGGAGGTGAGGAAGCAGGGATGAGAAAGCAGCTGATTGGACTTGCTGGGGAGTTGGCAGGAAGAAGGTAAATTTTCTGCTGTTGTGCTTGACTGTCAGTAGGTAAATAGGAGCAACTGGGCAGCGTTTAAAAGTGAGAGGTTCCTGGCAGTTTTTCTGCTCATCCTGCCTCTCAGATCTCTCTTCTTGGGCATAAACAGTGGGCAGAGCCAGCGGGCAGAGACCACTGTGGTGGCTGTCGTCACAGGTAGACCTGGAGCACAGGTCACATGGTCTTCGTAGACATCGCTCATTCTTAAACACTTCATTCATTTAGCTCATTTCATCTTCACAGAAACTCTGGGTGTTCTTACCTGTATTTTACAAGCGAGGCAGCCAAGACCCAGGTTAAGTGACTTCTTTGGATCACACACGGTTGCCACAGTGTGGACAGCTAGTTCTGGAATCCACATTCACATCACGACCCTGTCCTCCGTCGGACCACGCAGCCCTGAGCACATAGGCCTGGGTTCTGTACTGCACGTGAGAGTGTCCTAATGAGGTTGAATGAATAAGCCTGCTGTTGACATGATCCTGAAGTAGCTGGCGCTCACGTGGAGGCAGAAGGCACCACCTTTCAGGAATCCCGGGGTGGGGGGGGGGAGCTCTGGTGGCCTAGTGGTAAGGAGCTGCAACTACAATCCCAGGCGCACGGTTTGAATCCACCTCTGCCGGGGAAGGAGGGACAATCTCCTCCTGTACCAGTCAGATCTGATTTGACGGTACATGCACACAAAAATAATTAAAAAAAAATGGCAACAACTTCGATAAATAATTTTATATAAACTTGCCTGCTCAGTGTTGTCAAAAAGCTAAGTCCGAATTCTGGAAAAATACTAGACTGAGAAGAATGTCCAGTCATATTGTACAAGCAGGTGTGCAGTCAGGGGCGAGCTGGTCCCTGGTGGGAAGAGCAGCTTCCGCGTGGTCAGGACCTGTACACACAGGAGAGCCCACCTGGGCTGGACAGCTGTCTGCCCGCCAGGTGCCGTTATCTTCATTTCAGAGCCAAAGGTGGTGGCATTCAGAGGAAGTGACACGAGGTCACTAAGTGAGAAGAAAGCTGGAACAGGGCTGCTTAGAGACTGTGCTCTGGAAACAAATCTAAGAAGTGCCCTAAACGAAGTCTGGGTTAGGCTTAGGGAGTGTGTCTCCCACACGTGGGAGCGCAGGGTGACCCGCCACAAGAGTTCCGAGTCCGGGAGGCGGTGCCAGGAAAGCAGCGTTTAGTGGAGCTGTTGAGAGAGGTGGGTGGTGATCCTCAGGGCTTGTCAGGTTAGAGCCGGTTTCTTTGATAGAGAGAGGACCTGGGGGCAAGTACGGCACAGAAGACTTGAATTCAGACTAGGTCTGTGAGGTGCAGAATTGAAGATGGGTTAAAAAAGCAGGTAAGGGAGGGTTGGATTTGTATGTAAATTGGCTAGTGTTCTCGGGGTGAATAAAGTTGCAGATGCTGACCATTTGCGTGCATTTTGACCCAGTCTTGCCTCATTGCCATTTTAATGTCCGGGTATTTTTATAATGAGAATAATAGTTATGCTGATTCAGTGTTAATCATTTCTTTTCCAGGATTACATTCCATCACAGCAAGATATTCTGCTTGCCAGAAGGCCTACCAAAGGCATTCATGAGTACGACTTTGAAATTAAAAATGTTCCTTTCAAGATGGTTGATGTAGGGGGTCAAAGGTCAGAAAGGAAACGTTGGTTTGAGTGCTTCGACAGTGTGACATCCATACTGTTCCTTGTCTCCTCGAGTGAGTTTGACCAGGTGCTCATGGAAGACCGACTCACCAACCGCCTTACTGAATCTCTGAACATGTTTGACACAATCGTCAATAACCGGACTTTCAGCAATATCTCCATAATTCTTTTCTTAAATAAGACAGACTTGCTTGAAGAGAAAGTGAAAGTTGTGAGTATCAAAGACTATTTCTTAGAATTTGAAGGGGATCCCCACTGCTTAAGAGACGTCCAAAAATTCCTGGTGGACTGTTTCCGGAACAAACGCCGGGACCAGCAGCAGAAGCCCTTCTACCACCACTTCACCACGGCCATCAACACGGAGAACATCCGCCTCGTTTTCCGTGACGTGAAGGATACGATTCTTCACGACAACCTCAAGCAGCTGATGCTTCAATGATGGACAGAGACTGCCTATTTTAATACCTTTTTGTGGTTTTGATTGTTTTCTGTTTGGTGTCTTGTTTTTTTTATTAATAGCAGTTTACAGCAGAAATCAGAAAAATAAAAGATCTCGATTCTGTGTTTAGTGTCTTGGCACTCTCAGTCCACATGTGGGCTCCGGTCTGTGCCTTAGAGCTGCGGGGTAACACGTTGCCAACATCTGCTGCAGTTCAGGCTTGGATCTGTTTCCCTGTGGCTTCTCCTTGAGTCAAATTGTCATTTCCTGGCAGACCTCAAGCCCTGTGTATTTCAGGCTTCACATTCTTCCACTTTCAAATGCATTCTCTGCAGTGCCAAGGAGGTGCCATTCAATATTTGTGGAGACGAGGTTAAGAAGGAAGAGTAAGAGAGCCAGCTCCCGTCTGCCTCGCTCTGGCAGGAACACCGGCTGACCTGTTCTTTGGAAAAGGCTATTGGAAAGACGTTTGATCTGAGGAATGTCACCCTGAGGTTTCCAGAGATTTAACCTCATGTTTTTCTAATTGCTTGTGCACCCAGCCGTGATTATACTTTTGAAATGTCTGTGGTTTCTGAAAGTGATGCTCTTAAGGTTGAAAAGTTTACGTTAAGGATTTCTGAAGTGATTGAAGAGTCAGAAATGGTACGGAGGAGGCAGCAAAGGGCAAGCCAGTGTCGTGCCGAGGGTTCCGATCCAAGTCCGGAAGGAAATGGAGTTTGCCTTTTTTCCTGTGTCATTATCCCATAATTCACTGTGCCATGTGGGAAGCACTGACCATAGCAGCAACCCAAACCTGCAAGCAGCCTTGCAGAACTTTCTGAAGAAGCATACCCTTTCCCGAATCTCGTGTCTCCCTCTCTTTTCAATCCTGTCTCCTGATTCTGTCTTTACTGTGGGGAAGGTTCATGTGCCCTCGTCACGAACATCTCCTCTGGCTGCCCTGTCCCATTGTCATCAACTCAGCCATGACATTTATGGAATTTTAGGGATTTTTAGTCTCTGTTTGGCACTTGCCAAGGACAGTATTTTCCTGTCCGATGTAAGAAGAGACATAGATTACCAGTCATGCCTGGTATGTTTCTCAAGGTTGGTTACAGAATGTGCAGGTTTGTTTAGGTTTTGTTAATGAAAGGCCGCTTTCTTGAGGTACTTTTTCCATATTTTAAGGGGAATTAGTAGTGTAGTTCATACCTAAAGTGGCTTGCCGTTGGCCTTCCCACACCGCTTACCACGCTACAACTTACCGGTCATGTAACTCTGTGACCACAGGTACAGTTCTCATTAACTTTTCAAATGACTGGTTCGCAGGTAAAAATACTATCTTGTAGGTTGTTGTAGGATTAGCATTGGATTTTGAGAAACAGGTGGATAAAGGTCAGTGACAGCTTGAAAAGTCTGGCTTTCTTTTCCTAAAAATTGTGACTAAGACTGTGATATCTGTCACTTTATTAGCTGACTTTTCTCAGGTATTTTATTGGTTAGAGAGATTGATCAACATCTCTCAGCCTTTCGGGACACCCTCAGCTGTGTCTGTCTTGTTAGGTGTAAGGAGAGAGTGTCTCTGAGCTGACCTGGGATTGCTCTTAGCCGGCCGCCTTTGAGGCTCCACCATCATATATCATATACACAGCAACTTCTGCCGTAACTCCAGCACGCCCAGTCCTGCTCATGCATGTTCACATCATCAAGGGCTTCTGCAAAAAAGAATACGTTGTCAGCATTCACAGGATTACCAAGTTTGCCCTGCTCGTGAGTAGTTCTGAATATGTGCACAGAAACATTGAGCTTGTCAGCACCAGGTCTACATGTACATTTAGCCAGTAGCTATACTGACTTGCCAAACATTAACCCCAGTGAAGACCAAGTCAAGAAGACACTTAAATAGTACTCGAGATCTGTGATGAGGAACCGTAAATACTGCCTGACAAAGCAAAAATTAAAGCACCTTTCTCAACTTGGAACACCACCAAGGAAAGTTAAAAACCAGGAATGAGTTGAGCTTTTCCAGTTCTCTTCAGTTTTACTATGTCCTGTTACTGTGCTACTGAAAGAAAGAGTGGAGATTCTTTTAAAATAAAATCCAGACAATGTTTTAGGGCAGTATATCCTGTATACTTAATGCCAGGCTCAAGTAGATGTGCCCAGCAGAACAGTAGGTTTCCGTCTAAGGACTTCAGGCCTTGGTTTTTTTTATATACTGTATTTTTTAAGCATTTGAAGGGGTCAAATGGCACGAAAGCCAAATCCTGTGGAAATACTACTCTGTGGAGAGGGAAATGAAATTTAGACCAAAATTGGAAGAGTATGTGTCATTTTCACTCTGCCTTTGCTTCCCTACCCCCAAGAAGTATTTCAGTTTAATTGAAATGGAAACATGTTGATGTGTTTGATTATTATTTTTTTTTTTTTTTTACATTTTCACAGTTCTATTTTGGGATAAAAATGTGCCTAATTCTATACTACATTCTGTTTTTAAACCTGAATGCCTCGGAGTTAAAACCTGTCACATAAGTATCTTCATTGACCTTGAAGAAATTTATGCAATGCAGAGTTGCCTTATAAAATCAAAGACCACCACAATTTGGGGACATGGATTTTAAGCAAAAAGTGTGTCAAGTATTTTTTCAAGTCTTAACTGTCACTTAAATACCATGTTTAGCAACTTGAATTGTTGTTTGCTGCCAAATGTTTTAATTGAACTCTTCATTTCCATTTTACTGTCTGGAAAGGGTATTTAAGAGCTACAGAGTAACTAGGTCCGAAGAAGGCAAAATGGAAAGAAAGAAATCACTACTTTTTGTTGGGTTTGAAGATGTTGGCATCAGCACGTATTTAACAGAAGATTGCTAGGTCACTGTTGACGTCTTTGTTCTGTTGGGTGACCATGGTTGATTTAAAGTAGACTGAAGTTACTTTCATACCAGAAATTACTAAGATTAAGTATTGATTCTGATTCAGTTGAAGTGCTATGTCCTACAGGTTTTTTGTAAGAAAAAAAGGTGGTAGGTTTTAAACTTCCAGTGTATACACAAGTGTTTGTATTTATGCTTTTGATAAAATGTATTTCAGCATTAATACACATAACCGGTTATGCCTTATTTATATGAAGAATAAAGTCGTTTCCAAGTTCTCTGCTCTGTAATGTCCAGAAACTCAAATGCTCTTATATATGCCCTCAAATTGGTGCTTTCATTCTATGAAACATTTGAAGCAAAATTCTTTCTGTTGCAATTTGTAGCAATGTTATTTCTGTGTATGTAATGGGAAGGCTGAGTATCAGTGTTAACTCTTAATTTCTTGTTTGAAACCATGAAATCATGCCTGTAAAGCCCAGTAAGACAGTTGTAACAAACTCCCCAATAAATCTAGAGAAAGCCACGCTGTCACTTTTTTCTTTCTTTTGCTTTTATCCGAGGAATTGGGAAACAAATTTTGCACAGCAATTTTGTCCCTTTCGCTTTGAAATCTGACTGGGAACCAGGTCGCTTGCCTCTCTCCCGTTTCACCATGTTAAGTCCCTTTAGTTACACTGAGACTTCTGTGTGTTGTACTGTTTGACTAACATTCTGATTGTTTTGTTTTTCATTGTAGGATAAAGGTTGACTTCCCAATAGAAAACTGTAAGGAAGAAATAGCCATTTCTTTGTCTCCACATCCTTCAAATAAAGCAGATGACATTGTGCCTACCCTTTTTTTTTTATGGTACGAGGTTAGGGCTTTCAGTCAGTTTATACTAGAGCTTGAAGTAGAAGTCTAAACTTGGGCATTTTAAACAAGCTGACTCTGTCAAGTCTCAGCCAGTCTTTGGGTGATCAGTGATTATTAACCTGCTGCACGTACAGTGTCTGCCCTAGTATTTGTCTGCTTAGAAGTGGGGTTGGGTTTTTTGTTTTGTTTTGTTTTTGGTTGTTGCTGTGTATCATCTAATTGGATCCGACTGGCACAGGAGGAGATTGTCGCCCCTTCTCCAGCAGAACATCTGGTGGATTTGAACCACATGCCTTCGGGATTGCAGCGCAGCTTCTTGCCAGTAGGCCACCAGAGCTCACTTAGGAGCAGTTCTTAAAGCGTTGTGTGCTGGGACCTTGTTTCCTCAGATGGTAGAATTTTTGACTGCTTCAAATCTGCTTTTAATAAGGATGGAAGCGCCAGAACCCCCCTGTGCATACGTCCTCCGTCCGTGGGTACGCCAGCAGCACGCTGCCGAGAAGGTGACTGGGTTTGCCTTTGGAAAGGCTGTTTTAGAACATTTCTTGCCATAGTTAGTAATGGATTTGTCCTCACGCCTATTTGATGGCACCAAGGAAAGCGGGGTGGGAGGATGAGAGATTCGTTCTTGGGAAGTATGTGTCACAATGCAATCAGCTATGCCATTTGCCTTTTCCTTACCTGTTACTTGAAAGCAGAATCACAGAATGTTTTCAATAGCTTTTCTATACTGCTGTGTGGCGGTAAAGCTTGTTTACCACAAGAAGCCTTATCAAAAATGTATTTTGTAACAACCTGTATGTACCTAACAAAACATACTTTGTATTAGCTCTGTATAAAAGTATTGTTGCTTAGGATTTTTTTAAAAAAATATCTATCTTTTCATAACTTTCCAGGAACTAAGCACATTATCTGATTGTAAATTTCTTCCCTGCCAGTGCTTTAGTTCAGTATTGGCAATAAATTATTTCTAAAGGAAGTCTAAAAGTAGAAAGCAATGCTGAATTTTTTTTTAAAATAAGTTACTAGTTCATTAAAGTGGTTTACTTTTGTACAAATACTGCAATCGTCTTGTCTCAGTACTACTATTTCCTTTGTAAAAATTACTGATTAATAAACATTTATAAAACAACTCAATACTATGATGTTATTTAAACATTTGATAAATATGAAGTAGAATACTTAAAAGTTGGGAAGCATAACTCTCCAGTGATTTAGGGGTGCCCTGGGGGTGTGGTCCACAGGGAATAGAGCTGCTAACTCAGAGGGTCTCGAGCTGTTTAACTCACCTTGCACTCAAGCACAGACCTTCGAGCAGTTCTCTCCCATTCTGTTAACAGCCTCAGAAACCCTGTGAGTCAGTTCTGACGATGGCAGCCAGTGAGGGACAAATCTATGCTTCAGCTCGCCATCAATACTTTCTTACCTACAAACTTTCCTGACTGAAGATGAGATACGGACCTCTTCCAGAACTGTCGTTTGGATGTGCGATTAGGGAAGGGAGAACCTCCTTTCTTTATTG